AACTAACATATTTCAGATGCACCACCAAACAGTCCACATCTGTCAGAGACACAAGAGAACAACAGAATAGTTTCATGAAGACAATAATTCAAAGGTCTTTGGAGTTACACTCATGTATAGTCAATAAACCTACAGAAATGTCAGTAGACAAATGGCAGTCCCCTCTCTCTCTGTCTCATACACACAGACACACAAACACACACACACACACACACACACACACACACACACACACACACACACACACACACACACACACACACACACACACACACACAATGAGGAAATGGATGCAAAATGACGTCAAGGGGAATTTATGTATCAGGAAGCAAGGTTCTACTTTAAAATGAGAGTTTAATTAATTTCTATAATTCAAGTGATTGATTATTTACAATATTAAGGCCTAATCATATTTCAAGGCAGATGTGCTGCTAGCCCCTTTTACTCTTGGATTTATATTTAGAAAACGTATCAAATTTTTAGTTAAAATCACTCATACAACATCCATTGTAAAGATTTTTGTTCATGATGGCTTAATAACTAATATTATAGACATAAAAAAGATTAACAAAGAAAATAGCCTCACATCATAATGGGAAACAATAAGGTCTGCCTATTTACACACCCAAAAGGGCTAAAACAGTTGTTATTAATATAATAAATTGCCTATAATTTAAAAAATGTTAAATGTTAAATTTTGTTAAATGTTAAATTTTGTTACCAGGCGGTTCTTTGGCAAACACATAACCCGTCAGACAGAGAAGCAGAAGAAGTCCAGTCGACATCGTGCTCACAGTATTGGTACAAGTCTACTTCAGCATCAAAGTATTTTCATTTCTGGCTATGCTGTTAGCGTTCGTGGGTTTTGTTTCCTGTAAACGGAAGCGAGATATTAGGCAACAGATCAAGATCACATGTCTGCAGTTAGGCCTTATGCAGTACGGCTTTAATATCAAATAACTCACAATTTGACATTTAGGCTATATTTGACCTACCTATACCAACTGTAACTGATAAAGCCTTAGAGCCACGTGAACATAATAATTCAAAATTATACCAAATATATTATAACCTAAATGACTGACTGAAAAAAATCAGACACTATATATTGGATTAACAATTTTCCATCTAAATATAAATGGAGGAACGTCTTTCTGCGTCTCAGATTTTTATCTGTCTGTCGTCAGTCTGTCGTTTCTCGACAACCGCTCGTCCAATAGACTTAACAATTCAGAGCTGTAAGAGGGTTACAGTTTTTTTTAATATGTGGTTATCTAGACAGAGGAAACATTAAATGGAAGTCGATTAGTAAGCAGGCATTTAACTGGAAGAAGGAAGTTGAGATAGCTAAACAGAAGCAAGCACCAAATCAAAAATAAAAGTGGCAGCACATTTGGGACACTGAGACAAAAGGAAGACACCTGTATAATGTGCAGAAAAAAGGTGGAGAAACAAAGACAGAGGAGTAGAAGTCTCACGGGTAAGAATAGAACATACAGGATAAAATCTCAGACAAAAAAGTAGAAACAGGGGAGAGCATGGGGAGATAAGTTCAGGAAAATTATTACATGGAAATATGAAAGACAGTATAGGGCAGCAGCCTTGAGTTTTTTTGAAAGAAACTGAAATAATATAGAATCTAAATATATATATATATATATATGATATTATTTGGATGTGTATTTATATTTGAGGATTCAAATTAGAATAATAGACTTTTGCGGGATGGAAACTGACTATCCCTTGCTGCGTTATTGCAGTTTAAAGTTTTGTGTCCACAAAACTATAGTAGGTGGCGGTAATTCACCTAAACGTTGGATGAGAACCGCATTAAAGACGACGAAGCAGCAGCAGCAGAAGCAGCAGCAGCAGAAGCAGCAGCAGAAGCAGCAGCAGCAGCATCCGTTTGTATTCGATTACGCAATGTGCGTGTCTCAAACATGCACACGCACTGTCCAACCCACAGACAACCATCCGTGGTCCAACCATGCAAGCTGCAGCTACAAAACCTGCACACGATCATCTTAAGTGTGGGGGAAAATTAGATCGGAAATGGCTTAGTAGGCCAGTATAACAACTATTCACGGTCACTAGAAGCGAAAGGATCTCGTAGCCACAGAAAGACAACACCGTTTTGTTTGCTCACGTAACTTTACACCATGCATCATCTAACGCAGAGGTCACTAATAAGAGGACAGCAGTCCTTGTCCGGACCCAAACGCCGTCCTATTAGGAACCGGACGTATGACCTATAAATTATTGAGAGTTATTCAACTTAAGCGGAGCGTTTCTATTTCAACTGGCGCAGCTTTTCTAGCCTTTATGGTACCGATCACATGACTACTCAGCCAATCATTGTGACTCGAGCCAGTCTGAGATACACAAGGTGAGAGACGACGTCGGAGCAGTGAAGAAATTAGGATGAAGAGGGAAAGACAGATTAAAGGACGAGTTAGAGCCGTTCAGTTGTGAAAATGTGTTGAGATTGTTTATCAGTCTATATGTTTATCATAAAAATGGTTGAGACATTTGGTTAACTGTTGGAGTTAACCATACAGAAGAAAAATAGAAAGTCAAGTTACACTTTTTATTTCATTTAGTAAAATTAAGCATATTATTATCATTTTTCAAAAGCCCTCTGTTATGTAGTTACTATTATTACAGCCATTCATTTTCTTGAAATTATAAAAACATGTCATTATTATATTATTTGTATAGAAGGTATCATCATTATTATCGTCATTATCATTATTATCATCCTGTGCACCAACAGGCTTCATCCCCAAAAGACTGTAAAACACTGCACTCAACACTAATTACTTCAGTTCGTTTACTCCCGATAGAATAGTTTACTTAGTGTGAGATATTTAAAGTTTATTCAAATGTGTGATGTTTACAGGTATTTTGTTTTCCTTTAGCAGTGCATGTTAAGAAATAAAGTTTGTGATAATATTAAAATTTTTTATGTTGGAGTTTGTTTACAAATTGTGATTAAAAAAATACCACAAAATGACAGCACTCAAAGCTGACACAGAATTTCCATACATTTGAAGATGAAAAAATAGATATACAAATACAACTTTCAAAAAACAAATATCGCAAATGTCTACAGAGAATTCCTTGGACTTTGTGGCTTGGTTTTTGTCTTGACATGCAGTGTGAATTGTGGGACTGTGTATACACAGGTGTGTGCCTTTATAAACTATGTCCAATCAATTTAATTTGTCACAGGTGGGCTCTAATCAACTTGTAGACACAGCTCAAGGATAGTTAAAGTAAAGAGGATGCACCTGACCACAGTTTGTGATTGAATAATTTTGTAAATGATTTCAGTTTTTGACTTTTAATAATTTTGCAAACATGTCTAACATGTTTTTACATTACATGCCATTCTGGATTATTGACTGATCATTAGACTGATAGACAAAAATGGTAATTTTATCCGTTTAAAATAAAATCTACAACAAACAAGATTAAAGTGAAGGGTCTGAATATTCTGAAGCCACTATAGGCTATGTGTAGCATCATGGCCTACTTAATCTCAGGTATGGTTTGTACATGACAGAAAAGTCATGTGACTCTTGATATGTGTATTATGTTCTGTGTCTGCTGCTCCACAGTTAAGGGTTTGTGGGTTTTGTTTCCTGTGAGAGGAAACCGCTACAAAATTAAGATTGAGAAATACCTTTAACTGAAGTGGAAACTTTTATGTATGCGTAGGTATGTTATATGTGTGTACCATCATCCACCTGACAAACAACAAATTGTTAAATCAACTTAATCGAAGAATTACCTTAAATGACATGCTTGTAAGTGTATCAAAATCAAACAGAAAAAGGGGATCTACCTATCTTTTAATTTGGCATTTGATCTCTTATGCTACAATCATTTCATCTCAGTTCATTTCCAGTGAATTGAACAGTGGTTTGCTTGTTTGCATGTGTGAAAATAACTGTAATCTTAGTGCTCTTTTTCCTGTTTTCACATAGAAATGTCTGAAATATCTGAACTGCACAGTCTTTGTGTAGCCTCACACAGCTGTCCGAATCTTTTGGCTATTCATCAATTGTGAGAAATTACACGGTCACATGAAATACTGACTTAAAATCAAAATGACTCAGAAATGTCAGAATAATATTTTTCTTACCTTTATAAAAACAAAGAGATTGATACTTAAACTATATTGATATTGCATCAAAGACGAATGAAAGCCTTGTGGTGCTAAATGCTGTCTTTAGATATACCAGGTGTATAATATACTTCTGCGGCATAACCAAAACTAGAGAGTTATAACGCAATACAATGACCATGAGGATGAGTAAGTTAGATGAGCATTATTCAACCGTTATTAGAATATGTGAGGAGGAGTTGAAAGCCATTCTAAACAAAGACTGTATTTTCTCCACAGAGATCATATTACATTTGTTAAATATCACAAATAGTGTCAAGTCTTAGACAATCAAACCACTTGTAAAATAAATATCACACTAAGACTGTGAGACTGATTTATTACCAGCCATGACAGCAGGGCTGCTATTGTTCTCACTTTGTGAGTCTGTGTGTGTGTGTGTGTGTGTGTGTGTGTGTGTGTGTGTGTGTGTGTGTGTCATCATGGCAAACTGTGGCCCTGGAGACACTTTGGCTGGACAACCACAGAGGTGCTTTTGAGTATGAACTGGAAGTTTTTTGTGTGATTGTATTTTCAACTTGTCTTCTTATTGTAATGGGGATTTGTCTGCTATAGTATAAGAGCACAGCAAGATTTCCACAACAGAGTAATCAGAGTAAATTTCACAGGTGGCTTACAGGTAGCTACTGTGATTTAAAAAAACAAAACAAAAACAAACAAACAAAAACAAACAAACAAACAAATTGAACAAAAAACCCCAAAAAACATTTTGGGTGTAGTGTTGGTGTTGCTCACGGGACTAGCACTAATCATGAGGTGACTTTTATTTTGAAGAACCGGAAATCCCAGTGTTTTGATAACGGCTGCGGAAGAAGCTGTCATTTGCTCCCCTTTAGTCCAAGCAGGAGTTTCCCTACAAAACCGAAAGGAATTAAACGACAAATGTAACAGTTTGACAGAAAGTCGAAATGGGAATTACACTAAGACACTCTCTTGGTGTTAAACCGTCAAAAGCGCTTCTGTTGTTGCCTTTTCTGTTGACATTCGTGCTCGTCGGGAGCCAAGGCGAGAGCAATGCAATGGACAACGTCGCAACTGAGAGGATGGCTGAGGAGAGCCATCGTCAGGACAGTGCCAATCTTCTCATATTCATAATGCTCTTAACACTCACCATTTTAACTATATGGTTGTTCAAACACCGGCGATTTAGGTTCCTGCACGAAACAGGACTCGCCATGATCTATGGTAAGACTACCAACGTTAGCTAACGATAATGTCAATCAGTTAATTTAACTTAGCGTTAATACTAGCTGGCTATCTTGGTGTTAGCTCCTCAGACTTGACCTGTAAGCTCACTTTGACAGCTTATGCTTAGGTTTCATTGTGCATGGGGGAAACTCCCTGAGTGAGTCATCTATAGAGATGTTCGCATTCAAATTAGTATTATGTATCCAGTATTATGCGTACTTTCGATTATAAATAGTAACTGTCTTAGGACTGCGGGATTATGGTGATCTTTTTTTTAGAGTTTTGTTATTCTGTCAGCTGTCAATTAAATAATGAAATATAATGTAATATTGATAACAGCTGAAGTGTTAGGGAAAATGTGTATTTTTGTTACAGTAGCTGGAAAAAAGCATATCTTCTTCCCATTTAACTAGTCAGACACCTGCACCATCATTCATTTCCAGCATGCAGCGAGAAGCTGCGTTGATGAAGCTATTGCTTTGAGAATAATTAACTTGGCCCAATTAATATTTGTTGTTTGTAAGACCCCAATCTAATTCAAGTATGTAGCACACTCAAATAATTCAAGGCAGGTGTTTTAAATAGAACCTCACCCTATTTTGGTGCACAAGGGATATTTACTTGAGATCCGTGGCTAACTGCTTTGCCCTTCTTCTCCTCCCTGAAGGCCTGTTGGTGGGTGTGATCCTGCGGTTTGGTGTCCACGTGCCCCAGAGCATGAGTGACTTGGTCCTCAGCTGTGCAGTCAACGCCAGTCCTGCTACTCTGTTGGTCAACGTCAGCGGCCGATTCTACGAGTACACTCTGAAGGGGGAAGTCAGCCGGAGCAAAGGGCACCAAGTTCAGGATGATGAGATGCTGAGAAAGGCAAGGGGATGAACAGATGAAGCATATAAAGTTGCCAACGGAAAATATGTTTTATGGATATACTGAAAAGGGTTTGAAAATAATAATAAATACAGTTGAGCTTTGTCCATATTACTGTGTATAGTGTGATAAACAGCCTCTTACGTATGGTGCTTTTCCAACTCAGCTCCCCTACCTGTGTTTCCACCAGAAGAACTATGGTTTGAATTAAGTTCCAGGGAGATAGTTTTAACCCCCTAAAAAAGTGCATGCTAAGGTGGCAGTAGTTTCTTAAGATTCAGGAACTTCTGGGTTGGGGCTTGCAGTGCTCAGTGTCACTGATTATACACTTGCCATTTTTAAAAACTCAAACATGTTGCTTTACTTGTAGTTTCTGGCAGACAATTATCAGCCAAGAAATTTTTTGACCAATGGACAGACGACAAAATCCACATCCGACATTACACACTTGTAGAAAAAACATGAAAAGCACTTTTGATGCATCAATGCAATGTACTAGTTACTAGGTGCCTGGAGCCTCTGGTGGAATAGCACCTGCATATCTAAACATGATCTCTGTCAATAAAAATGTAAAAACCTTACTTGTTTGCATACAAAACAAAACAATATATGCTCTGAAGAATATTGGAAAGGTGTGTCAGGTTGTGGGGAATGCACTATTTGTAAATAGGTGTATAACTTCTTATAACTACTGCCTTCAGGTGACCTTTGACCCAGAGGTGTTTTTCAACATTTTGCTGCCTCCCATCATCTTCCACGCTGGTTACAGTCTGAAAAGGGTAAGAGAGTCAAAGGGATTTATGATGTTCTGTTCATGGAAATTTACATTCAAATGGAAATATAGATTCAGGTTTTTCACAAATAAGATTTTACACAAGTTAAATAATATTATTTAAAATTATATGTTGTTTTCTACAGAATAAGTTACATTTTTTGTATGTGATTCTTCATATATATGTTTCTTAGGTACTAGACAAACTCTATTTTAATGAACTGTCTTTGTCTGTTTCAGAGACATTTTTTCAGAAACATTGGCTCCATCCTGGCATATGCTTTCATGGGAACAGTTGTATCATGCTTTGTTATTGGGTACGTCATTTTGTAGTCTCTGAAATAACCTCAGAGATTGTGATGTTTTGTTTTTACCATTATGCCTGACATTCAGACTCAGTTTTGCTTGCCTCGTTTCATCTGATAAGTTTGTTTTGCAAATGTTTCATCATCCTTCTTTCCTCCTAGGTTGATCATGTATGGCTTTGTTTCCTTCATGAAAGTTGTGGGTCAGCTAGCGGGAGATTTTTACTTTACTGATTGCCTCTTCTTTGGGGCCATTGTTTCGGCAACAGACCCAGGTAGGTAGAGTCATATTAGCTTTCAGTCGTTTCAGCTTCCATATATTCAATAACAATGCTTAATCTGGCTTGTGTTGTGTTATACAATATTCACGTCAGTGTTTTTTTTTATCCTTCATATTTCAGTGACAGTGCTGGCTATCTTCAATGAGCTCAAGGTGGATGTGGACCTGTATGCTTTACTCTTTGGGGAGAGTGTCCTGAATGATGCTGTGGCCATCGTCCTCTCTTCGTAAGCACTGATAACATGCTACAAAAATATACACACACTTCGCCAAAGCAACAGTAGGTCCACGTTAAAGGATAGTTTGTGTGCGGCTTCAGCAGTCTGAGTTAGAGACTTCAAGTTAGTGGATTTCCTTGTGAAATTCATCCTTTTTTCCCCCTGCTAAGCTGCAGCTGAAGGATGGTAAAACAAAATAATTTTCCATTAAAAATACTGAAACTTTAAAAGATACCAGCTTGTTTGGTCTGATTCTGACTGTTGAAGCCTCATATTAGCTTCAGTTAAAAATCATTTTTGCACAGAGGATTTCATCCCCCCATCACTTAAATTAGTATTGCATTAGGAAGGGATTCTTTCATAGCCTGGACAGGAGGAACAATTACAGTGACCAACAACTTTTAAAATGTGCATAGGGGCAAGTCAGTATTTTTTAAATTTGAAAAGAATGTGAACCTGACCTTTAATCCCAGATGTGTTGCTGACCTGCACTATAATGAGTCTATGATAACTGTGGCAAATTCAACTGTTGTACATTGCACATGAATGAACACTAATCATACTAACATCGATCCCTGTCATTTCACTGCTTGCCTTCCTTCACCCACCCGTGTCATTCATCGCCTGCCTGTACGTATGTATGCAGTGTTCTCCTCCGCTTGGAGAAACAGAGTAGACAAGGGGCTGGAGCTGTGCACTCCCCAGGAGATGACGGCCCAGTCTTTCCCGAGGGGGTAGAGGAATGGCTGGGAGAAAACCAGACATTGAGCCCCCGGTGGGTGGGTGGGTGGGTGGGTGGATTGGTTGTTGGGCTGGTTGCGTGGTTGTGGTGGCAGAGTTGTAGTATTAGAACCTGATCATCTCAAGTCAGTCAATGTGATGCAGATCTTTTATTTAGAGTGTAGACATGATCCATTACGATGATCACTGCCCTCCCCTACACCCCACAGCTTCTGCAGCCCCTTTATATCCACTCCTTGTCTTATTTTTCATTTTTCTCAATGTTCTACAGAACGAGCAGATGACTAGAAAATTTTGTGTCCAAAAGGTCTATTACTGCTGGATGTTAGTGCTGGTGATCTGCTTTGTTAGTCTTGAGGTAATTTGGGTGGTACTTCTCATAAAGGAGTAGCGCTTGAATTGGTTAATTATTTGCACTCTTATTGGATATCAACCAAATAGAGTTGAGATATCCAAGATCCAAGAGCATGCAAGACCCCAACCTCTTCCCTTTTTATGACTGTAAAACCCAACTCCAATCCATGTGTGTTAAGCCTTTGTTACTACTTTTATTTTTTAAAGGGAAACCAAAATCCGCTAAATGTGTACAGAATCAGAATTGGATTTGGGTTTGGGTTTCTGCAGGTTTAATTTGATGCTTGTCTAACATCTTCAAAGATATTTCCGTTGGTGTCTTTATCTGAGCATGTGTTTGACCCGTTGCTCTTCCTGGATTCTCAGAACACAGGCCTATTTCCTTTCTTCATGAAAATGGTTTTATTTCTGTGTACTCATGTCTACCTGCCCTTCAGCTCCATTGTGGCGTACCAGCCTGCGGGAGACAACAGCCACAGCTTCGAGGCCATGGCCATGCTGAAATCCTTCGGCATCTTCCTGGGTGTCTTCAGTGGATCCTTTGCTCTTGGAGTGGCCACTGGAGTCATGACTGCTCTCATATCCTTTCACCTGGTTCTTACAGTTACATAATGTTGAATGATAATATATACCTGTGAATATAATAATTTATATTCTCAGGTATGCATGAGCAGCAACAGAGTAATACTAAATGAATTAAAACAGATGCCCAACTTCTATCTAAAACTGCAGCTGTTTAATCATTGTATGTGCAGCTTGGAGTCATAATTGACTTAAAACAAGAAAAAGCCTGTATAGATGTAGCCTGAATTCTATTCATGCATACCAAAATAGAACAGTACTTCTGTACTTTTACAGATTTATTTGTCTTATTCAATCTGCTCAGATTGTCTCATCTCTCTGTTTCTGTTTTCAAATATCATGGCTGCAGGTGTTCCAGCTCTTGTTTTTTTCCTTGACGCTCAGTTTTGATCACGTGACCAAGTTCACTAAGTTGCGGGACTTCCCCTTGCTGGAGACGGCTCTCTTTTTTCTCATGTCCTGGAGCACTTTCCTGTTGGCTGAGGCCTGCGGGTTCACAGGTACACCTCCTGCATGCAAAAATATTATTTGCAAAAGTGATTTTTTTTTTTAATGCTTTTGACCCCCTCCTCCAAAGTATAATTTAATATGTTCTGAGTGACATTTAAGTTAAATCTGTGGATCTTTGTTTTTATTCAGGTGTGGTAGCTGTGCTCTTCTGTGGGATCACTCAGGCTCACTACACCTACAACAATCTCTCCCCGGAATCTCAGGACAGGACCAAACAGGTGAAATGCAATCACAGTGATCCCATCCCATTGTATCTACTAACAGCTTTAATCTTTGCTCTGTAACACGTTTTGCAATAGTGCCACTGCCAGTACTAGTCCAACCAATGTTATAGGTTATTTGTATTTCCATTGAAAAAAAAATCTAGTTTACAAAGTGCAGAAGGTACAGAATTGAAGAAAAGCACAGAATAAAAGCAAATAACAGAGAAATGCCTTGAAAAAAATATTCAGAAGACAGGATGTTGAAGTTGCATTAAGTTCAGATACATCCACACGCTGATGTCATTTATTCACTGAAGCACAGAGCGGATAGACCTGATGGTCTGCTGGTCCTTCGTACAAACAGCTTTGGGTCATCTGGCTTCGGCATATAGAACCTAAACAATATTGACCCTATTATCAATGCAGTGCAGCGTGACAGGGCAAGATGTTTGTGGACATGAGTATTTACCACCATAGATAGGATCTGAACTAGAACTTGTGTCATCCTTATCAGCAGCAGCAGTGAGATTGAGCAAAACCATGATACGCATGTCTCTGGATATCTAGTAACTAAGATTCAGAGTTAAGAAATAACCTTAAATAGTTTGTTAGCTTGATGCAAACAATGTTCTTAGTTTTACTCGGGACATCAGCTGAGGATTTTAAGAATAATGTAACTTTAGTGAGTAAATTAAAAGCAGATACCGACAAAGTTCACACATATGTCTTTTGGTAGCACTGGTTTTTATGGCAGTAACTTTATTTTCAAACACTGCAAATAAATATCACAGTCTTCATTTGGGCAAGGTTTACATGAGATTTAGAGCATTTACAGTGACCGCGCATGTGGACATCCACCTCACATATTTTCTGAAAGTTATACACTTAGAGGCAATAAATAAAGCTGAGTAGTACAGTTTATTGATAGTTACCGTTTAGTAGCACTATAAACATGTATTTTTCGATATTGGAAACTATAAATGAGAGAACTAGAGAGCACACACCACCGACTATGCCCGTTATTTTGATCTCAACTACACAGTTAAGTTTGACAACTGCATCTTTCATAGTTATGGATAAAAATCAGCATACAGACATACAAACGAAATTACTGTGAAATTACTCAAGTGCTAGTTCCTGGTAAAGTAGTAGTTCTCTCGAACCACAGTTTGCTATGATGGCACACACACACACACACACACACACACACACACACACACACACACACACACACACACAAATATAAGCATTATTCTCCGTAAATTTGATAAGACATGTAACATTTCTCACTAATGCCGTCATGAGTCATCTGATGAACACAGTGAATGCATGGTTTACAAGAAACATTCACATGTTACCTTACCTACCCAAAGTGACATGAATGCTATGTAAATTTTTTCAGTTTCAGTTTTCATCCTGTTTGTTTTCAGTATGTGTATCTGTTTGTCTCTTCCCCCATCAGTTGTTTGAGCTGCTGAACTTCCTGGCAGAGAACTTCATCTTCTCCTACATGGGTCTGACTCTCTTCTCCTTCCAGTCACATGTTTTCAACCCTTTGTTCATCATTGGAGCCTTTGTATCCTTTACTCTGTCTGGTGTTGATGCGCCGCACAAACAAATGAAGGCCTTTCTGGTGCTCCAGAGATGTGTGGCTATCTGACATACCGTATTGTTCCACATGACCTCAGTTTTGTTTTTTTTTAAACCATAACATGCTCACTTGCCTGCATTAGTTAAAAATTCTATCTATCAATCTATGAAAATATGTCATGATACTAATGCTAGCAATACTATCACCAAAACTTTTATGATGGACTGACAGTACATGCATCTTATTTTATTCTGTGCTTCAGGGAGCCCAAGAATAATAGGAAAAGCTAAATTAAATTGAGAACACATTTAAAACTAAGATTAGTCAACCATGAGGCAGAATTTCCAAACTGCCATCTACCCACGATTATTTTCCATTCCAACCTGCCCTGAACTGTATCATTATTTCAATTTGTTGTGTCCTTGACCTTCCTGCGTGGTATAGGTGGCAGTGTTTCTGGGCAGAGCAGCAAACATCTATCCTTTGTCCTTCCTGCTCAACCTGGGCCGCAAGAACAAGATCGGGTCCAACTTTCAGCACGTCATGATGTTTGCAGGTATGTGAGGTCTGTGGGGTCTCTTATTTTCTACACAGTAAAGATGAGTAAAGTTTCTCTGGCTTGGACCCAAATTGAGTAAACTACTACTCACCTGGGACATGGTTCCATGAAAATACACTGTCAGTGGAAGTGTAAATAAATTAGCCATTGGCCTGGATAATAATCTCCTTCTAGACCAACAACCCTCCTACTCACATACAGTATTGTTATGAATAACAGCCCCTATTGTATGTCAGCTGACATTTACTGTTGAAACAGGCTTAAAAATAGAAATCCCCTTCATGTCTGTTTCATAATTGTTTCCTAGTTTTTAAACCCACAGGTTATTTCCTGTAATTATGCTGAAAATTTAAACCAATTTATCACAGGACATTTTCTAAATATGTTCAACTTTTTTTTTTAATACAACTGATTAGCATGCTATGGCGACAGATGCTTATGTGAGTATGTGTCTCACGTAAGGAGACTGTGCAGGATAAGCTAGTCAACAAATGACTGCAGTAATCAGTAATTATTGAGTTCAGTTAAAAACATATTTTGTAGGTGTTTCTTGAGTTGATGATGAATGAAAAATTGCACACTGCCTCACTGTGGGCCCCTCTCACACATAAACTCTGTCTTAGTCTCTCATTGTTTTGTCTTTTTTCTCCTCCAGGTTTGCGTGGGGCGATGACCTTTGCTCTTTCCATCCGAGACACAGCGACGTACGCTCGTCAGATGATGTTTTCAACTACCCTCCTCATTGTCTTCTTTACCGTCTGGATCTGTGGCGGGGGCACCATGCCCATGCTGTCATTCATGAGCATACCGTAAGGCTGTGCATCTGTTTGTATGTGTTTATCTCTCTGTGTGTGTGTTTCATCCGCACTAATGAAGGTCTCTCTGTCAAAATCCCTGTTGCTACTTTTTCTCTTTTAGGGTGGGTGTGGACTCTGATCAAGAAAACTCTGTAAGTGATCATTACACATTAGAGGCTCATGTTTTTGGTTGAATTGTCAATTTGCTAACTCCAGGTCAAATAAAAAACATTTAAGTAATGAAACAGTGACTAAATATAAGAGTTGTGCTTCAGAGTTCTGCAGTGTTGGATGGGACACAGCGGAGGAACACCAAACACGAGAGCGCGTGGCCCTTCAGGATCTGGTATAACTTTGACCACAAGTATCCTTTGAGCCATGGATTACATGAAAACCTTGTCTTCAGAACTGTAGATGCTGAATTCAGCTTTCAACACCAGAGGGTGCTCTTTATAAACTTTAAGAAATATATAGTTGTAACTTGATCTCCCTGCACAGGAGTGATACTGATCTTAATAAAAGAGCCACAGCCTTAATATTTTAAAACACATACATACTTTTTGATTGTTTCATAGTTTCATCTTCCAAGACATCAGACAGTTTGTTGACTAATTAGGTTGTTTAATTGAAAGTTAGTGTGTTTAAATTGTTTAGTCCTTGACAGAAGCTTGTTCACCAGCTACCTGAAACCTCTCCTGACCCATAGCGGTCCTCCTCTCACTGCTACTCTGCCTGCTTGTTGTGGACCGCTGGCACGATGCCTCACCAGCCCACAGGCCTATGAGGTTTGAACATAAGACATCATTCGATAAAGTTGAAGTGTCTTTTCATTAAATGCCCAAACAGTAACTTTTTAGACCGTATGAAATACAGCATTACACCCTGCAGTGTGTGCTGGAGTTGGCTGCTCACATTCATCTTCATCTCTTCCTTCTCATGCTTTTCCCCGCCTTCTCCCTTTCCCCTCTCCATGCACCAGAATGAAGGTCCGCTCCATGACGATGACTCTGACTTCATCCTGAACGATGCCAACGTGAGCTCCATGTACGCCGACGTCACCGTCAGCACAGACGCATCAGGATCCCACACTATAAACCGTAAGCGCTCCACCGCCAGCATCGGGGGCGGCCCGTCTGATGAGGGTCTGGATCACGAGCTCGCCCTGGCGGAGCATGAGGTTGCAATCAGGGGCACCCGTCTGGTCCTGCCGATGGACGACCCAGTGGAGCCCCCGACCACCGTCACCCTGCCCCCGCCGCCCTCCCCGCCACGCTCTGACCCTCGCAGACACAGACTGTAAGACGGCTTGCACTGTCAGGATGTTTTGTTTCAAAAATCTCAAATCATCTAAGCTGATTTCACAAGAAAACAATCTGTTAGTTGATTTGGTTGGATTTTTGATTGAAATGTCAAACTGTTGTTGTCCCATGTTGACGCTGCCACCTCTCCCCTCTTAACATTTTTAAAATAGTCTCAGCTTTCTGACAAACTTGAGGCGTGCTTGATTTAACTCACCATTTAGGTGGATTACTGTAATCCTTAATGCGAATGCACTGTATGTAAGGTAAGGTACTGTAAATCGAGAGCACCTCAAGCTTACTAACTTAAATCCGGTGAGATGCACATTTAGCCAGTATTTGAGGCTAAAAAATGGGGCAGTAGTATGTGCTCCTATGTTTGTACTACTGTGGCAATATGCCAGTGCTGTTATCTATGCTCTCTAAAAGCCCCAAACACCCTGACTGTGCGTGGCAAACCCTAAAACAGTTTAATATGCAGTTTACACTTTTCAATGTGGTGAAGTTGCTCCTGACAAAAGGTCCTGTATCTGTCTAGCTTCTGTATTTGTATGACGGCCTACAGTATCTAACATTTAGGGCAGTTCACAGTTACCCTGACACTTTGCTCTGGTACTACTTATGACAATTCGTTGCTATTAAAGAGCATTTAGACTACAGTTATATTACTAATCTCACTAACTGAGTTATCTTTTCCTACATCCCGCGTGTTTGCCTCCTGCTCAGTTGGTGGAGAAGGTTCAAAGGGATGAAACCAAGGATTTTGATTGGAGGTAGCAACTAGGCAAGGACATTGAGACTTGTGATGGGAGTACTGGGTTTTTAACTATAAAAGACATCAAATATTTGCTACAACAAGATTGTAGGTAGAGCTGCAGCAGTTAGCAGATTAATTTATTAATTGATTGACAGAAACTCAATTGGCAACCATTTTTACACTCCAGTCATGCGATCAGTTCTCTTATGTTATCGTAATATTTCAAGCAAAAATACCAACCACTCTCTGGTTTCAGCTTCTCAGATGTGAGGATTTGCTACCTTTCGTTATGACAGTGAATTAAACATCTTTGGGTTTTGAACTGTTGGTTGGACAAAACAAATTGAAGACTTTACCCTGGACTTGGAGAAAATGTAAATGGAATTTTCACAATTTTTCTTTTTTTTTAGAGAACAATAATCCCATAGACTTAACAATTAATTGATTATTTAGGAAAATAATTGTCAGATTAATGAAAATAAACTTTAGTTGCAGCTCTAAGGCTCTGTAAATACAATAAGGCCAAAAAACAACCAAAAAACTCAAACTGCTTTCACGACAGTGTCCAGAGCATCTCCATTATCTTAAATTTTAGCACTGCCTGCATCTTCTCCTCTTGATCGGTCTTTTTACGTATTGATTTATTTATTTAACACAAAATGATTTATTTATGTAATGATTTATTTTGTTTATTTATTTATTTATTTGTTATTTTGTAGTGTGACATTAATGATTATCTTGCCCTGTTTTTAATTAATAGGACTGCTTGGTGATGAAAGGCTGTTGTTGCGAACCTTTTCCTAAAAAGCACTATGACTCTTCCCACTGAAGGTACATTGTACAGCAGGGAAGTCACGGGGGAGGTAGATGTTCATTCCAGGAGTTTGTCGTCCTCTACAGTGTGTGCATGTTAAAACAATATCTCCTTCCCATACTGTAGCAGACGCTTGTACTTTATACTCGGAAACTAGAGCTTCCCTGTGTGTGAATTTTGTGTGTTTGTGTGTGTTTGTGTGTGTGTGTGTGTGTGTGTGTGTGTGTGTGTGTGGGGCTGAGGCTGAGGCTGAGTGTGTGGCTGATCTGGCCAAATCAACTGCTGTGGTTATTAGGGCTAATGTCTTTCTGGGTTTTCTGTCGTCATCTGGTTTAATCATCTTTAAATGAAAAAAAAAAAACTGCCATGTCTCTGTGATGTTGTATCATCAAAGATGACTGAGGGCTGGCTGAACTGTTCTGAATTAAAGTGCCTATTCATAAATTGAATTAACTAATGTAGATTTGTACATATTTGATTTGCTAATGTGAAGTAAGATGATCTTTTTGGTTTTTATATGACACTAAACCCTTTGATGTTATATATTGTATTCCCAGTATAATTAGGCCATTAGGCGAGTGCCTGCATTTTAATATTTGTCTTAAACAGTGCAAACTAAAATATTATACTAATTAATGGAAAAAAAAACTCTTAATATTTTGTCAGATATAATCTTTTTGTGTACTTTTGGAAAATGTATACTTTGTCAAAAAAGTACATGTGGCTTTTTAAATGAAACAATTAGGAACTCAATTTGAATTTGAAGGTGAAGGGAAAGATATAGTAGTAGTACACAGGAGGATGACACAGACTTTTTACTGATGCATTGTCTGTTTTGCACCTTTTTTGGCAATTAAGCTCGTCTACTCTGTTCCCACCTCAATGAGAGGCATTTTGCACCATGTTATCTCCTTAGATCCTTGTTTATCCTGTTTTCTGCTGAGCAGGCCCATCTAACATAGCAAGGCTAATTTTTATGACTTCCTGGTCAAAATTATATTTTTAAATGTGAAAATGTTTGTTTTAATTGTATCAACATGATCTTCAAGCAGTATTCTTAATATGAGGTTTGGTGTCTGTATAATCACCCAGACAAATGAACATGAGTGAATTTGCATTTGTTTTCTTTTAGTAAAGTACTCTTTGATTTTCATTTGTTTGCTAAATGTATTTGAACCATAAAACTTTGTTTATATGGGAATTTTGAAGAAACAGTTGTAACCTTACAATAGCAGCCACAACTAAAAACCTGAAAATGTTAGACTATGTTTCTGCTGTTTGTAGAAACTGTTCATGACAGTTATATTTGTGAAAAGTACACCTGCAATAGGCCTATATGTGAATGTTTTTAAAATGTGAACTTATGTTGAAGGGAAAAATAATCTCATATTTAATAGATTTTTTCCCTGTGTAGTCCTCAAGTTATTAACAGTGTCTTCTAAGTCAGACATCTTGCGAGTGTACTGGAAATAAATAAAAACAACTCGTGAAATTGACACGTCTTTTCTCTTTTAAATGATGTAGTCCCTAAATTACGTCCCTATGAAGCCCTTTACCGTAAGGCTAGTAACTGATCATTTCTCATGATTTGTCTCCATGACAACTGGGCAAAGTGCATCTGCTGAAGTATGAAAGCTCAGGATGAAGCTAGTGAGTGAACCTCGTTGTTAATTTTATTTATTTATTTTGGACTATTTCCCAGGTCAAGAATGAACCTTAATTTTTTGTTTCTTTCCCTAAACATATAGGCAACAACTAGGTAGCACTAACATTATCACAAATTAGCAAGTATAAGGAGACTGCAGTTTTTTTTTAGCATGTTCACACAATTTTCTCAAAAGCTGGTGTGAGTGGACATAACGTTTCTATACATAGAAATGTCACATTGACTTTTATTTTGAAGGTAAATTCACCACTTCTTTTCGAGCGTCACACTTTGCTTTGTTTTGAAAGTAAAACACTCTCTTTCCGGTCTGAGCCTACTCTTGAGCGTGTGGAACTTGACGCAGCCACACACTGCGGTACTTATAACGTGTGAGGGTCTCGTTAAAGCGGAGTTCCGCTGCCTCCAAAGAGCCGCTCATCCACCGCTGCAGACATCACTCCGAACCCGGTAAGCTGGCTGACGAGCTCCGCTGTCTATGACTCTGCAGTCTAACCAAACCTCTTTCTCCTTAAACTTGTTTTTAAACAAAACCGACCACTTATTGTAGGTCTGTTTGCACTTTGAGCATGCAGGATATGTCACGCCTGATGTGATGATCTTCAACTTCCGAGCCGCTCTTTTATCTTTTATTATTGCACTATAAAAGTCTGACTAAACAAACTATTGATCTTCATGAAAAGGCAGCTCAGGGCAGATCACCTATACAATATGTCCCGCAACAACAAACTGTACAGTAGCATGTGATATGCTCCTCTCTCACACATCACATCTGGAGATTTCATACACACTTAATTTGCAAAGCAGCACTTTGATATCCGGATAGGAAACACGCTTTTAAGTTGTCTGGGGCGTTGGCTGTGTCTGTCTATGTAAGTGTGTGTGTGTGTGTGTGTGTGTGTGTGTGAGCTACAGTTACATGCTGACTTGTGGAAGCCTGGGCTACTCCTGAAATCTGTTTCCAGTTAGGAAGTCTCCTTTTTTCACCCAATGATGGAACTGCTGAGGCAAAAAAATGCATGGCAGAGGTCAATTAAAATTCCTGTACTGCTATTTTTCATTTCTCTATGTGTGTGTGTGTGTGTGTGTGTGTGTGTGTGTGTGTGTGTGCGCGTGTTCACATCCATGTCAGAGATGCATATGGCCTCAGTGTTGGATTTACCAGCCACTGTTATTCTGCAAGCAGTTGAGAAGCAAATTCAAGATCCATATGTGTGCGACTGACATCTTTCTTCCAAGTTTTAGGTGTTTGGAATTTTGATTCTCACTGCAACCCTTAATTCATAGTAGGAAACCTGTGATTATTCATAAATTGCTTAATAAAACGTCATTTATCCATCAAACGACTCAAAGCAACAAGACAAGGCTAAAAGGGGAATGAGAAATTTTCCAGTAAGTTTACAGGAAACACGCATGTTGTAAGTTGTTGAAGTAATACCTTCACAAATGTTGCAACATCTTAATATAAAATGTTTGGTAATATACTAGATAGCACTGCTGATTTTAACAGTCATATGGAAGTACTTGTAGTATTACAGCTCGCACTAACATATGCAGAAACACACAGACAGTAAGTAAACCAAGACCCATATGTGTGTGTGTGACGACCTTTCTCTGAAGGCTGATGGGAGTTTTTAGTTTGTTTAAGTCGAAGCCAGTGCCTGAATGTTAAAGAAATTACCATGAGCTCAGTCCCATAAAATACATCACAGGCTCATAAAACTTTATGCAATTTGTCTGACTTCACGTCATGGTAACTCCCAGTTGTGTTTTGCCTGTTGTGATTTTAATAGGATAGACTGTAAATTGGATACTGGCGCACTGTGTTCTTCTATTCATTGATCCCCAGTGGTAAATTCATATTTTTGTAATGGCTTTCACTGAGAAACTTAGCAGTGTTTTATCTTTGACCTGCCGCCATTCAAACCTGTTGTGATGTGTTGGAGTCAGCTGACGTTAATCAGTGGTTGTGAAATTAACAGAAAGAAAGAGCTTTTGTCTTGCGTTGTATTATGTGAAAAGAGGGAAGCAAAGCTAGATAGATGTATATCTGGGACGTCTAAGATACATGTCTGAGAAAATTGGCCGCAGCTGTATGACCAATTAAATATTTTACAGATATGTTTGGATTTAAAAAAACAGTTTTAACACTGGGAGATTTTTTTTGTCACTTCTTGGCAAGTGCTACATAACGGCATCAATACACTTATGTCTGTTTTTCAGCAATATGCTCCAAAACATATCTTACTGTGGAGAGGCTAGCAAGCCGCTGCATTAGATGCGACTGGAAACAAGGTGAAAAAGGTAGCCTGGCTCTGTCCAAACATTAACAAAAATCAGCACCTCTAAAGCTAACTAATTAATACGCTATGTCTCATTTGTTTAGTCTGTAAATCCAAAGTGTAGAAATGGCAAGTAGTGGTTTTACAGGGGGTTATGTGCGGGACTATTTCTTGGCTGGGAGCAGTGACTTCTTGGGGTCTTGTCATCACCATGCAATCAGTGAAGACTGGTAAAACCACAAATTGTAATTTTTACACTTCATTTTATGCACAGATCAAACAAACAAGATATAATGTGTTAACACGAGAGCTTTAGCGGCTCTAGGCTAGCTCTTGCCCTGTTTCTCCAAATGTTAAGATAGGCTAAGCTTCTCCTAGCTATCGTTTCACATTTATCATCGTTGATCATTTGACACTGATCCTCCCATCTAACTCTCGGCAACAAAGCCAATTAATGTATTTCCCAACATGTGAAACTATCATCATTTAGCCCCTTGGATTAACTGTTAAACTGATGGTAAATGATCTGATGCTTGGTCCCCTGAAGAGAAAGTTTGTTTAATAAGTATTTATATTTTAATACCAGAAATAGTTATGTTTGGCATTCGTTTAAAAGTGTTTCTGTTCAAGTATGGGCTTGGTGAGGTCATTGTCAGGGTAGGAATCTGGAGGAATGGTTAGAAACTGAGATTTGCAGGGATTTTGTTGGTTGGAGATTTATGAAGGGAGATTGGAAGAGTTTGGAAGCAAACAGGCTCATGAGACACAGACAGCTTAAATGTCCCAAAAGATCATTTCAACATTAAATCTTAACCGTTAGCTTTGGAACTTCTGTAGTTCTTCAACAGGACTTCAACAGACTGATGTGGGGAAGGTTCTCTCACGCACGCACGCACGCACGCACGCACGCACGCACGCACGCACGCACACACACACACACACACACACACACACACACACAGAATGTCATGGATATTCATGGAAATGGAAATTGGTCATACACTGCTGCTGCTGAAGGCTTTTAGTTTTGTCAGCTGCTCTGTTCTGAAAGGCGTCTCAGTCACTGAACTGCGAAGTGAGAGACGGGAAGGAGAGAACAGAAGATCATGCAGAAACATTGTGTGTGTAAATCAAAGTGAGTTAGGTTGAATACAGCTAACCAGCACCTTCTGGTAAAACCATCATGTCTGTCCTGTTGTAGTGGGACATGCTGGGTCTACATGACTCAGATCTGTTGTATCGGCTTTATTCCTGTGTCTGGAATGTGGCTGACCAGGGCCAAATAAAACAATTATCTGTCTTTGTAGGCTGATGTGGAGTAAAAATGTTTAGCTGAACTCGCTGCTCAGTTTCAAATACTGATGTGTATTTATTTTTGAAATAGCATTGGTGGGAACGCTCCCAGAATGATGTTGTTGTAGTTGGGCCATGATACATTTTCATATTAACAATGGATAAAATGCGTTTAACGTGAAAGGTGTTGCTAATGACAACTGCGCAGAGGATTATCACCTGACTCTACACTTAACCTCAGCTCTACAGAGCCTTTTAGCGTCTTTGAGCGCATTGTTTTGGTTTTATGGCCCGCAGCCTTGATGTTTTGGTTCACTGCTCTCAGCAGTGATGTTCAAAGAATAGCTCTGATAAACCCACTTTAAACACGCTAAACAAACAATGGATAAAACGCAGAGACAAAGTTAGCATGTCATTGGTGAACAGCAGCTATGAAGAAAGCTTTTTGCTCACAGGTATCCTTGACACAATGCATTCTGGTCTTTTGAGGCTTTTGTTGATGTATCTTTTCCTCTTCTTTGATGGATTTCTTTGTGTGCAGAATTGTGAGTTTTCTCTTGCTACTTCATCCTGAAAGACAAAAAAAAAAATGAAATTTACTTAAGACAACGGAATATTTTTGCCCTTTTAAACATATTTTGACAGATTAATATATAATAGCATCCAAATACACTGCCAGCGTTTTGGGTGCATTTTCCCTTAAAACTTTATCCCTTGAATCAGCCAGATGTTGAAACACAATCATGTGAAGTCCATTACTAAATTACAACCACAAACTTTCACACTTCCACAATTTAAAGGTCATTTCTATCATAACCATCACAACATCATGTCGTGGCCTTGACATTTAAAAAAAACAATGAGTGACCCTTTGCACTGAGGAGGTGAATCTATTTAAAAGCCATTATTCTTTATTTATTTCAAATTTTAAGTCTACATTACTATTACAGTGGGAAGAAATGTAGATAAAAGGGGGCATTACAGTACATTCACTGTTTCAACCCAAATCTGTCTTTAAATCACCAGGAAGTGCCATTAAGATATTTTCTATTTTCTGCCACCAAGTCCGTGATTTAAGAGTCAGACATTTTTCAAAGGCAAGTCTGCCGAGGTCCCACCTGCAGCACACTGAGTGTAACATAAGTTCAGCCAGGGACTATGTTAATGTGGGTCTGTAGGCATTAATGAAATGTTAATGTAAACTTATTAATAGCCAGTACATTAAAGAATTTACTGAGTGAGTGTGTGAGTGTGTGTGGCTGGACGGTGCCAACTTCACCCTTCTGATGGAGACTTCCTGTTTCTCATTTTTCCACTACATTCTTCAGCGATAAGCTCATGCCAACACACACACACACACACACACACACACACACACACACACACACACACAGTACACAGATGGTTGGTACATGCAGACTCTCTAAAATAATACGCACTGTTTCAGTTTGTCTGGTCTAGATGGCCCCGCCTGATTTATTCCCTCTTTCTCTCTCTCCCTCTGTGTTTCTTTATTTTTCTTTCTCCGTCTCTTTCTCATCCCCCTGTGTGTTTTAAACATGCGTGTGATTTTCTTCCTGTACACAGGACATGATGTCACCTCTGTGTGCTCTATTTTTACACGACAGAGCTCCGACAGCGGTGTGGTAGGCTTGGAGGTTTGTAATTGTAACAGTCAGGTGGCTGAAACTTCAACAGCGGTGGGAAAGGATAAACAAACCCAGAGGGAGAAAAGATGAGAGGGAAAAAAAAGCAGGAGATGAAGGGATTCAGGAGAAATTTCAAGCTAAATCACCAGTAGTTTTGAAATCTTTTAAATTGAGTGGCCTGCAGGCTGCATGGAGACTTAACCCAACTCAAAGGATAATGCTGGTG